GCCCTGCCGCCTCCCCCACCACAGCCCAGCGAGGGGCTCAGAGTGCCCCCCCAGCTGCTCCGGCCACCGCAGCAGGGTCTTCCGTGAGCCATGTCCCCCAGGCAAAGGTGAAGGCCACCGAGAGGGCCTTGCACAAGCCCAGGCAAAGGTCAGAGGCAAACAAACCCAACAGGGCGGCTTCGATCCTCTTCCACGAAAAGGGCCCCGTCCCAGCCCCGGCCTGGTGGCCAGCAGGGAAGCCTGCCAAGTCTGCTCACCGGGCCTCTGCCGGCCCCTCCTGTCCACCCTCCAGGCCCGGTCCTGGCCCTCGCCCCCTCCCCACGGGAAACCCCCGAGATGAGGCCTGGACCCCGCAGTCCTACTGCCCACACTGGGCTGTGCTGACCGATCCACTCAGAGAAAAGCACACGCCCAGGCTGAGGACCCCAGGAGCCCCACCTGTCGGGGACACTCCTCCTGCCGCCCGTGCCGTGCTGAGACCCTAGGACAGTACCTCCTGGCAGGCCAAGAGCCGGAGCACGAGGGAAACTGAGGCAGGAGGGAGAGGCACCTGGGGGCAGGGCTGGACCCATCCAGAGAGCTCTGTCCACTGGAGCCCTCAGCCTGGGCTTTTCTCCCCGAGGGTTCCTGGTGCAAGGGCCAAGGCTGGAGCACCATGTCCAGGTGGGCTCCACCGACCAGCTAGGCGACATCTGCTTAGGGCAGTCCTTCTGAGAAGGGCAGGAAGCTGGTCAGAGGGGGCTGGTGGGGGAATCTGAGTCCTCCCTAAGGCTGACCATCTCTGGTCCCACAAGTTCCTCCAATGGGCTCCCTGCTGGCAGTGTGGCTCCTGCTCTTGCTGTGCAACCTTCCATGGCTCCCCAGTGCCAGGAGAAAAGAACCTCAGCTTTATCAAATGCAAAGGACTTTCTGTTCAACTCTTCCCTTCACACACTTGCGACTTTGGCACCTGAGTCTGCTCCCTACTTCTTACCCCTTCACCTCCCACCAGAGTTTCTTTCCACATTGAGTCCCAGCACCCAGGCTGGAAGGGAAGAAAGGCCTACCATACTGACCCATCCAAGGCAGCCCAGTCCTCCCTGGTCCCTGGTGTTGGCAGCCTCCGGGGGCGGGGGGGTCCCCTTGGGAAGGCTGCCAGTCCAGAGGAAGGGACATTTGCCTAGAGTCTCAGGAAGTTTCCGGCAGAAGGATGCACCAAGTCAGTGGTGGTGGGTGAGCTGGCTCCCACTGGACAGGCCCGCCTGGGGAGTGTGCCCTGGGACCCTTTCCTGGTGACTGGTGGGACAGATGCCCTGGAGTGACCTTTCACCTTCCCAGGCAGCTCCTGGCTGGGTGGCCCTTGCTCAGCCATTTCCGTGGCTCCTGAGTACTGGAGGGGAGGCTGGAGGTCTTTCTGTGCTCCTTGTGCCCGTCAGCCACAGGCCCAGGAGGACTTCTCTAGCTATCCTGGACAGCTGCCCTCAGCCTCCTCTGGAGAGCCCATCTCTGCTCAGGCTCCTGCCAATGCCGGGCCTCCTTGCCCCCATTCTACTCCTGATGACCCTGGAATCCTCCGGCCCAGGACCTTGGGCTGCCACCTGCCTGTCTGCACCCCCATTTGCCTCTGTTATTCAGTGTCCTACCCCCCACTCCATGTCCTTCATCCCCTGTCTCCACTGCATCCTCTGTCCCCCTCCCAGGCTCCTGGGCAGTGGCCTTGCCTCCCTTCCAGGCCTTTCCTAAAGCCACCTGCTGCCCTTTGTGGCCTGGGACCTAACTAAGTAAAGCCCCTTGAGCCTCAGATGTCG